GCTCATGTAGAAGAGGTTCTTTGGGGTGATTGAATCCTGAAGCTTCTCTTCCCACATGAATGTTTAATGCAGCAGAAGTATAGCTCAGATGGAGTCTACCTGTTGTGTTTCTTCCACAAGGATGTTTGGGGTTTGGGAGCCTTGCAAGGGTGGATGGGAGAAAAGCTGGTGCCATTTTCCCAGCAGATATGCAGGTGTTCTGAGAATCCCACACTCAGAGGAAGTGCCTGTTGTATTGATCTTTAATTTCTCAGATAAGCCACATGTTACCAGCAAGCTTAAATTATTCCAGCTTCTCTGAACTGACTGAACTTGTGCAAATATAACTGCAGAGCCACACTGCAAAGCTGAGTCTTGCTGCATTGCCATCATAGAACAGAGCACTGATTTCTGCTGGAGAAGCATACAGCAGGAGTATATGGCCCTGTGTTAAAAAAGAAAGTCAAAAGTTGGGCTCAGTGACACAGTGGGCTTTTTCCCCTCCCAACCTTCTGTTTGAACTCCCCGGAATGCCATAACTTCCAGTGTCTGCTTTTAAACTTTAGAGAGTAATGCCTTTTAGCACCAAGATAGAATATTTATTGTTTTTCAGTAGTTTTCGTATTTTGGAGAAGCTGTCAGACATAGATATAGAATTCAATTACAAAATTATGTAGAAAAATCTCTGTTAATTTTCCTTCAAAATGCTGTTCTATTCTTCATGGTGAGCATGAAAATCAGAGCTGTGGGACTACATATATGCCATGCTGTCTCATGACATGGTGTGAGACAGATCATACAGTCTCAGAAGGCTGGTCTATACAGAATAATGCAAGGCTAAAGGTCTCCTTTTGGCAGCCTCAGCATTACAGTCACACTGGTTTCTTGCTCTCTCAGCAGAAGCCAGTTCCCTCCTGTGCCTTCTGCAGCTGGGGTTGAGCTAGCCCTGCATCTCTCACTGCTTGGTGGCATGGTAACATTCTGGCAGGTTGAAATTCAGCTGGCCACTGCATTAATGGAGTATGATAAGCTGTGGGCTATTTCTCTATCTGTTTGCACCAGTGCTGCAGGGTTGACAAAAGCACATTTTAGAAATGCAGTGCCTCACTGATACAGAGGCAGACATTTTCCACACAAACATTTTCCAGAGTGGAGCTGTACTCAAAATTGTACATATCTTAACTGCTGACAAAATCATGGCAGGGTCTGAGGAGCAGATCCATTCCACCTCCTTCCAGGTTGTGCTCATGTAGGAGCTGCCCCTCAGCGTGGTCCCTGATCAACAAGTGATGCTTTCTGCTATGACAGAAGATTGCCAAACTCTACATGAAAGATGACGATACGTTTCTAGTCTAGTCTCCCTTCCACAATATGTGGCCAGATGTGGCAGAGATACTCTCACTTCCTTGCTGGCTGTGCAATTATCTGCACATATTAGCTTCTTGAGAGCTGGCAAATCCTTCAGCAAAATGTCAGTAGTGTAATAGTGATTCTGCCATGAAATGTAGTTTTTCCAAATCCTCCACACAGAAGAGGTCCTATTTATTATTTTGAAGTGAGAACAGCTCAAAAAGATCATAACATTATACTTTTCTTCAATCTATTGCAATGCACCTATTCAAGCCTATGCTGACAGAAACTGTAACTTACGTGTGTATCGTAGACAATACCACGGATTGAGCAGCAATTTCTTGGTACTGAGCATTGCTGGGTACGTGTCTCACAACAGCCTTCATGATAAAACAGAACCAATCTCCACAACAGTAGCATTGGGAATGGAGGGAAGTTTTTAATTTCTGAAACAAGGCATCACTAGACCATCTTCAGCACAAACACATACGAATTTTAGTGACGTACCCTGTTCTAAAAAGGCCTAACATGAGAGAGAGCTGTTCCTGCATGCCCATGCACTGCACGCTTAGTGATTTACAGATACTGCCGAGCTCTTCTACATGGTGTTGCAGGGAAGCGAAAAAATCTTTCTGGAGTGGAAGGACCTTAGCGAGATGTGTGGGTCAATATTACTGGTACTAGCAATATTTCAGTTCAGCACTGCTTTGACAGTAGAAACCAGTGTCTACAGTCAGTCCTGTATTCTCGTTTCAGTGCACGAAAGTTTATGAGCCTAATCTAAACACCACTGAAATATCTCCTTTTTATGCAATGAATTTCAGATCAATCCAAATATTTTTTAATAGCACTTAGTGTTAGACATCTGCTTTTGTATTTTCAGACTGAAAATTACCTCTAAAAAACTGAGGAACTCTTCAGTGGTTTTTGTCTGACCCTTAGAATGTATTCCCTTGTAGCTCTAAGCACAGAATGATGATTAGACTGTGTATACACACTACATAACTAGCAACTGCATGAAATCTTACTACTAGCCCAACTAACATCCTTTGCTGAAACATATGTAACACTGTTTTCAATGTTCTTTTTAGTGCATTTCTAAATGATAGGTTCATTAATCACTAGAAAAATGCTGTGACAAGGAGTTTTTGCCCTTTCTTTTCTACTATGTGGTTTTGAAGTACAATGTGCAGGAAAAATGGGTGCAACAAATCTCAGAATCTCAGCTATTCTGAACATAAAATCAGATGAACTGCACTTCTTATTCAAATGTTCGTGGATAGTTACCATCCAGAATGTGAATTCCTGAACCTGTTACAAGGTTCATGCCCATCAGTCAAATGAAAGATCACAGCCAATGTACATCCAGGTTTTCCAAGGGCAGGAGATTCTGCACCATAAAACCCAGCAATTTAATTTTGGCTTTCAGGATCTACTTTCCCTGCTAGCATGAATGTTTTGCCCACATCAAATTTAAGCCTCCTATATTGATTTTTGGTTTGGTTGTTTATTGTACTCTTTGTTCAATCTCTCCAAACCAGGAATATGTCTCTAGGCATTTCTTCTTTTGACATAGATTAATGCAGACCAGATTTAGAAAGTCAAGCTAGCATTGTAAGGGCTGACTCAACTTACATTTTTATCTCCAAATTGTTTCTCCAGTTTCCACAAAAAAAATTAACTACATTTTTTTATATCGCTCAATCCAAAGCTGAACCTTAAAATTATCAGAAAACAATCAGATAGTTTTTCAGAATGAAATAAATAGATCTGAGAAAGAGGTACTTCTAAAGAAATATCTCCTAGCTGAAATGTTCCAGTAGGTCCTGAATAATAAAGCATGGCAGCAGACCAGAACTTAGCTTTTCATATTAAAATTAATATTTACTAATACACAGTTGCTTTTGAGAAGGCAATTTGTTCTTGCCTTGTTTTAAAGTTTACCCAAATAATTTAATGTCATTTTGTCCTCTGAAGCAATCTCACAAGGGACAGCAGCAATCAGGGAGAGAAGAACACAGACAAAATCACCCCCAGTGCCAAGATTTTTCAGGTTTAATTCAAAGCTCCACATTAATCTCTTGAGATGGCCTAACCTCTGTCGAGCTCAGTTGCTGTGGGAGTCCAAGGAATACACACTGCTGACACTGCTGACCTGCCTTTTAGGTTGTCACCATCTGCTCTGTGTGAATTTCCAGCCTGCCTTCTGCCTCCTCCTCCTCCTCCTCAGCCTGCACAATAAAATCACCTCCAACACCCTTGCTGTCTTTCCTTTCCAATTAATCCTGGACCTTTTTCTCACCATCCTCCGCACCACTGCAAAACACCCTTTTTAACCAATAAGGTACTACCCTGCTTTTTCATTCTCTTCTCTCCCCAGCAGGGACTCAGAAATGGCACTCTTTAATTGAAATGCCAAAAAGAGTTCCAGCTTAAGATAAATGGTCACAGGACTCTGTTTATCTTGCCTCAAACATCTCACCCTAGCCTGCTGTGACAGTTAAAGAGTCTGGCTCCTCTGGGACACCAAGCATGCCTTTAATAAGGGGGTTAAAATACATGTCTAGGTGGTGTTAAATCATAAATGAAACAGCAGCAGCAAGAACCTTCTGCGAGCATAAAATGCAGAAGCCTCATTGTAACCCACTGAAGTTCTCTCTTCAGAAGAAAACTCTATTATAGACTTCTGAAATCTGCTTTACTATAGGGAGCACAGCTCTTCAGCTGAGCACAGCAGTGAGTCTGGCAAAGTAGTCCCCAATGGCAGAAATTGCCAGAGCACGCATAGCATGAAAAACATCTCCCACTTTCCTTAGAATTAATTTCTGCCCAGCATTCACTGGAGTTTAGCACCACTGGCAGTTGTGTGTTCCACCGTTGGGACAGGCAGGAAGGAAGCACTGACACTGATTTGTGCAGTTCTTTGAAACATGATTTCAGCAAGACAGGGGATGAAATCGGCATTCTATCCTCTGTTGGCATCAACCAGGCTCAACCTGCTTAGTTTATCTGCCCTGGCACATTGCATCATCCTGATGTGGTTCTGGTGCTAGTCTAGATAACTTAGCAGAGCAAAGAGACTCACAAAAATATCTAAAACCTGAAATTAGGAGCATCAAATCTGTGAATGCAAGGGTAAAAAGCAGTGATAAAAAAGAGGTGGTCCACAAGAAGGTCACTTTCATTTTCTCTTTTCTCTAAGGTGAATGATGAAAACCGTAGGAAAAGGATTTGGGCACTACTATCAAGTTTCCTCTACACTTGATGAACAAATATATTTCTCATGAGTACATATTTACAGGTTCAGATACTTGCTGATGCACAGTCAGGTAACTGTGCCTGTTAGATTGGTATCAGCAAGGTGGGCAGGTGTTACATACTCAAACTTCGCATGGCTGACATGAAGTCTAATCTGGGACTCACTCATTTTACGCAGACAGATTTCTCAGTTCCCAAGTTTTCTTGCATATTTAAAGAAAGAGTATGGCAAACAATAGCTTGATATATTAACTTGCAAAATATTGCACTTGTTGAAATTTTTGCACATTTTTCAACTACACCTTGGATTTGGGCTCTGACTGTCCTGTCAAATGATGAAATGACAGATTTTTCCAACAAAAGAAGTCATGCATTGCAGTGAGAGATGCATTTATTTCATAAACAGGCTCATCATCAAATTTAAAAAGACAGAAAACACTGTCGTTTTCAAAGGGACAGCACATTTCCTCCCCTCCCCTTAATGTTCATATCTAACAAACCTTTTTATTTCCCTTAAAAATCCTGCTGTGTATATCACTAGGTGCACATTCCAGCTGAAGGTGCTGTTTCCTCTGCAAGCTCAGGTGATTACTTGGCTGAGCACTACCTGCAATTACGGATGATGTGAGGGACAGCTGTGTGCATAATATTCATCAGTGAAAATTGACATCTCTCTCTGACACCCCGCTCTGCCCCTAACGCTGGAATTGTTAGTTTTTCTAAGGGTGTGAAGCAGGGGTTAACTGTGCTTCACAAACTCTGGCAGATCTATTCCTGTGTGCAGGGTAAGCATTCCAGCCTTCTCCAGGGCAAAGGCTGGATAAACAGTATCAGTAAATTTGTGCCTGATGGTGAACAGCACCAGCCCTCTCTCTGCATTGAAGAACAGCAGTCTGCCACCGCTGTAATCCAACAAGATGCCGATCCTGGCCAGTTGTTCTGTCACATGTACATCGCTCATCACATCCATGTGAAAAAATCTGCAAAGAAAGCTGCAGGAAAATGAAAATCAGAATACAGTGAGTCTCCTCGTTGTGATTTACCAGAAATAACTTACTGCTTAATTCCCACCTATTAACAATTTGCCATATACAGTAGCACATCATGTGGCAACAGAATTTTGCTCAGTACATAACCCACCTACCTAAGTGAAAGTGGCATTTCTTCAAAGCCCTGCTCAGCACACCAAGGAGTCCTTTTGTTCAACATCTTTGAATTCTCATGATAAAAGCAGATTTGCCAAAATTGAAATCATCTATATTTTTCATATTACACATCTCTGTGGGGATTTAAGCATGAGCTGCACTTTAGCAAAACCCTTTTCTTCTCAGATGTTTTGTTTAGCTGGTCATGTTCACGTATCTGCGTAATTTTACTCCAAAAACCCCACATTTTTTTACATCAAGAACACCTTTACAACATGAAGAAGGATATGATTTACAGAACTCCAAGTAGCCTGATGCAGACCCAGTGAAGACTAGCTGGCAGTCCTGCCACAGTAGTAACAGGATCCCTGTTGCTGTAAAGGGCAGAAGAAGGCATTCTCCATGGAGGCTTAAATTCTCTGGAGTTTGAAACTTATTCAGTAAAGACTATATTTGTGAACATTGGTGCGATTTTGTGAAACAATTCAGGATATAAACTGTCTGTGCCTGGGAAGATCATGGAACAGATCCTCCTGGAAGCTACGATAAGGCACATGCAAGACAAGGAGGTGATTCAAGACAGCCTGCATTGCTCTACCAAGGGCAGACCATGCCCAACCAGTCTGGTGGCCTTCTATGATGGAGTACCGGTGGTCAAAGAAAGGGCAATTGATGTGGCCTACATGGACTTGTACAAGACCTTTGCCATAGTCTCACACCACATCCATCTCTCTAAATTGAAGAGATATGGGTCTGAAGGGCGGACTATTGAGTGGAGAAATCGGTTGGATGGTTGAAGCCAGGGGGCTGTGGTCAACAGCTTGATGTCCAAGTGGAGGCCGGTCACAGGTGATGCTTTCCAGGGCTCTGTCTGGGGACTATGGCTCTTCAACATCTTTATCAGTAACATAGACAGTAGGATTGAATGCACCCTCAGCAAGTTTGCTGCCAACACCAAGCTGCACGGTCGAGTTGACACAACAGAAAGGATGCCATCCAGAGGGATCTCAACAGGTTTGAAAAATGGGCCTTTGTGAATCAAATGAGGGAGGTAGGTTGGGTGGAGATTTTTTAATTATGAGGAGGAGGTTTAAATCTCTTTTGCAGTTTTCCTTTGCTTGCAGAAAAGAAACAGAGAGGTCCTTTCTCCTCTTGAGAGTCTTAAAGCTGTCCAGCTTTACTTATATGACACACAAGTAACTTCTCAATTAGCTAGACTCAGCTTTACCTGGTTTGTGTAGGACAGCAGTACATGCACCAGGAAGTGTCACTCGGTCCCACAACACTGCTCTGTGGTGTTGTTTCATAGCAAATCCCAATCCTGTAGCTTCTGCAGGCAGTGACAACAGTTTCCCAGTAATGACATCCTCGAGCAGGCAACGGTTCACCCAAGACTGATGGAAACCTATTTGTGGAAGAGGTGAAGAATAAAGTGATTGTGATGGTAGGCCAGCCATACTGTGATATTTGTTGTAGTCACATCATGCAGCATCATCATACTAATGGAAGATGCTCTTTTCTTCTCACTATGGTGTTCTACCAAAGATTTGAATGTTGTCACTGTGGGTCACTCTATGTTTGCACTAAGATGGACCCATCTTGAGTACAGAGAACTCATAAGCTAGCAAAAGGTGGAAAAGGTGACTTTGGAGGCAAAAAAAAGATCTCAAATATAGTAGGCTTGCTCACGCCAGAAAGCATGGCTATTTTAAGTAGACACAGTGATGAACACCATGTGTGCAAGTTGTAACAGTTAAAAAAAAGTGCTTAAATTTGTAATGCTCCATTACCTTACAGGAAGCCATATGAGTGTGGCACGTCATACAAGTGGCTCTATGCTTATGCTGAAACTAATATCAGAAAGTAAAAAAAAAAACAAAAAACCCAACAATAAAACAATAAAAAAAAAAGAAATCATGTTTGCAATAGATGGAACAAGCCTGGAAGTCTGGGTACAATCATCCTAATATATGCCAGGGGAACTTCCTATTTCTCCAAAATCAAGGATGCTTTGACAAGCATTACTAGTAATGCTCTCAGCAGAGGAACAAAATGAAAGGACAGATTCCTTCTAGCCACAGATATATATTCATAGGCAAATATATATTTAAATATACATATAACATATTTTAAGACAAACTCACACATTTGGTCTTCCCAGAGCAGCAACAATTTCCTTTCAGACTACAGAGCTCTGAACCATTAACCAGTAACCATAGACTGAGGTGAATTCAACTGTCCTAGCGAGCAATTCCTCTGCCTTTGACTTTCTATGGAAATTCCTCAACATCAAGCACTGCCTGGCACCTACATCAGTGCTGCAATCATTGCAATATTTGAAAGCAAGTCTGTCACACAATGTCCTGGGCTGCCTGACTGAAGCAATTCAATTCTACAGAATTAGTTAGTGATGTGTGAAAGCTGCCTACAGAGAAAAGCAAGAGGGAGGCCCATCCTGAATGCTCCAGGCTGGCTGTGCTCACATCTGCTACTCACCCAGTGAATGTAGCTTTCTCTGGAAGGCAAATCACGGTTTCATCAGGGGAGATTTGCAAAGCGGGATGAGCTGTGTCACTCAGTATGTGAAATCGAGTTCCTGGTACCATTCAGTACAAAGAAACACCAGTTCAGGGAGGCTATCAACATTAATACAAGATGAATCATAGTATGTTAAATTACTGCTATCTTAGCTGGACAGAATTGTGTCTGCTGGAAGGAAGGAGTAGCAGAAAACTGGACAACAATGCAAAAACTCTTCTGACCTGTGCCTCTTCATTACAGCAGTCTTCTGGAAACCAGGCCCAGGGATCAGGCTATGCTATTCAGTACATTAGCTAGGTATAAAGCAGTCTTATATTGACAGCTGAATCATTTTCAATTATTTGCTTTTTCAAAATAGCAAATTTGAATTCTGAGGCTGGTTTGAAAGAATCATGTGTGATTTAATTATGTCATATCTCTGATAGAATTTAACAGTTTTGCTTTTGATGTCAGACTAGTTTTACACTGACATAAATCTAACAACTTAAAATAAATTTGTCTCAGATTATTTTAATTTTAAGCAGATTAAATATGATCCCTTTTATCTCAATAGCTTTCTTTTTTCTCCTATTAATGAAAGTTCAGCTACAACTTCTGAAGAAAGATGATATTACTGCTTTGCATAACTATCCCTTTTTATTTTTTTTTCCTGCCATCAGAAAATGGTGATCTACCTTTTGTTGAGATGAGAGCAGCTTCACTCTGTTCACTTGTCCCAAATGTATTGACAGCCCTCAGGTAGAAGAAGTAGTTCACATTGGGCTCCAGGAATACCTTCAATTCATGTTTCTTTATACCAGCAAAAGATCTGCAAATTTTCAAGATTTACATAAATGAAAATATACACTGATATGCAAACCAAGAACGAATAATTTATGCAAACAGCTAACCACCAAATCATGCTGCTCACTACTGCAACAACAGGCACCACAGAGAAACTCCAAAACAGAGAGGTGATCACTGTTTTCACAAACAGCCAGGTTTTGTAGGAGCATTACTATTTCACTCAATGTCCTCCCTGAGTTGCCTGACAAATTTTCAGGCCTTTGTTCCTTACACCTTCTCGCTCAGTACAGTCATTTGGGTGTAACACTCTGTGTTCATTCTGCAGCATAATTAATCACATAAAATGCAAGCAGAAGAGCATAAAATTCTCATCTGACTTCTGTAAAAAGTCTGCATTACAAAATGAACAAGCTAATGAAGAAGAATATTTGTGATTAATTCATCTGCTTGAAAGTGAATGTGCTTGTTGTGCTTGTACTGTTTGGGTACAGGCTCCACAGACAAAAGAATGGATATCCATTTTTAAGAACACACATAAACCAGGAACTTCTTATTATTAACTCCTCACTCACAAATTGTTCATCAGTAAAGTCTTGGCTCTGTCTCCCTCATTGTGCCATGCGCTCTAACAGGCTGCAAGAGGCAGCAGCAGGAGAACTGTCTTTGCACAGTGCCTTCATTTGACTTAGTCTTCTGTTTGAGCTGTCCAGAAAAACTCAAGCACTAACATTCTCAGCCACTGATGTATTGCTACACTGCAGGCAAAAGAGAGTCAGCATCCAGTCAATCTGCTTCACAGGCACTTTGAAACACCAGTGAAGGCACCTGGGATAGCTAGAAAAATGTCAATTTTATTTTCTATATAGTTGGGAATTTGAAGGCTCAACTTAACAAATTCTCACACAATGGATGCTGTGGACTTTTGCCTCATACAATAATTACAAAGAAATATAGTGTATACACACTGCACTGTATGTTTGTTGGTGAAGACGGTTTTTTTAATAAATAGAATAGGCAATTCCCTTCAACTAATTTGTCCAGGAATCTTCAAGACAAGTATTCAGTTTTCCAGTGTAATGAAGGTCTCCCTGGCCTCTACGCTGAAAGATGGTAACTTCAGTGGTAAGAAGATGAGGTGAATGCAGAAGACTCAATCTGCACTTCAGTAAATTCACAAACAGCAGATTTGCTTCTAGTGAGCATGCAAGACATCCTCCTTTCCAAGCAAGGCTAGAGATGGAGCCGAGGATGGTAGGCGTCCTCCTGCAGTTAATGTCACTGTGGGGAGCTAGATTCAACAAATCCCCTTTTCCACCAATTACTGTGAATCCAGAGGAGATATGGCAGGCAAACCAGCTGTCAGGTAAGATCTTTGCTATTCATTTGTAGTCAGTGTTTTTCCCCACATATCCCAGCAGAGAGCAGTACAATCTGAAGAATAATCAGTGCTCATCCATCAGGATTTTCCACATAACTCTGCTGCATTTATCAGACTAAGGTAGAATCCCACAGCTCTACATATAGCATATTCCTGTTAAAACCACACAGAGCTCTACGTCCAGGAGGACAGTGCCTGGGAAAAGGCTGGTGCATTATATTCATTAGTCTGTAACAAGTATTTTGTACTGATGACATTAGAAATGATTAAAAACACAGAAAAAGCACTGGTTCCTGTGATCTTTTCAGTTTGAAAGAATTTCAAACTGTTCAAGGCTCTTGCATGGTCGGCTCTGGGTCTTGCTGTCTTTGCAGAATGTACTACATTAATGCTAGAACTAATGCAATGTAAACAGAAGAAGTAGGTTGCCCAAAGCAATTGCACTTTTGCTTCATTAACCAAAGCCCTGACCATAACAGCACTTCATTAAGGCACTGGGAGATAGGCAGGCTGAAGTTCTTGGAACCTCTCTGGAAGTTTCAGGGAAGAAATGCAAGATGATGAGTGATCTTTACACATGAAACAGGAAAAAAGCTTTGTCTGAGCATACGAGGCAAAAGAAAAAAATGAATTGAACAGAAGTGCAAGAAGGGAACTGAGAAAGAAGGCAAATAGAAAAGAAGCAATAGAAAAAAAAAATGGAGCTGGAAGCAGAGGAAGGGGAAAATTAGTGGGCACCCAAGCTTTGAAAATAAATGTTCATGCTTCCTCTACAAGTCTGGTCCACTCTGACCTTTAAGATTACCATCCTGACATCATCTGAAGCACAAACCACCAAGAAACTTAACAAGAAGCTACCAGGTGAGGTGATCAATGAGTCTGAATTGTAGCCATGTTCTTAGCTTAGTGCCTTCCTCTGTCTTTTGGAAATTAGAAGATACTTTATTTTTATACGATTAACTTTTATTTAACTGATAACTAGTTAATAAAGCACAAAAATTCTTCTAAGTGGGCAAGTAAATTTTAATGCAAGTAATATCCCAAGTAAACTTGGGGTATTCATACCTTTTAGACTAGATCCCAGAACATGGCTACTCAGAGAAGATTTTGGATCCAGTTGATTGCAGAATAGTCAGCTATCACATTTCAGTCTACTGTCTCTTTCAAACTTGAAATTCTTCAAAGAACATTGCATGCAGCTTGCATTTTTAAATCTGAGAGCAATAGCATATATCTTCAAGCTGTAGTAGTAAGAAAGAAATACCTAGTCCTTATTTTTATGACCTGATCTTTATGTATATCTGATTAGTAAAACAGTGATCAGATTTTTGAATAACATTCTCTACTTGATGATCTTTTTTAGCCAGCCTTAATCTGCCTAGGAATAAGCGCCCATTAACGTTAGTTACAATTATGGCTTAAGAAACAGTCCTGCTGCTGCCAGCTATGAAATAAAATGTGCAAGGAAGATTTTCATCTTCAACACTTAGCCAGCTCCCAGATTGAAAGACTGAAAGAAGAAATAGGTGTTGCTGTACTTTCTCTGACTAGAGGATAGGGTGAGGGGGGAGAAGAGAATACTGAGGTCTTCCCAGGTTCTGAGCGATCATTTTTGTTTCTTGTGTTTCAGAACCATGCAATCAGTTATAAAAAAAAAGTAAAGATGAAGAGAAACTATGATTGCTGTCCAGCTTTAGCAATTGAAAACAGGTGCGGGAGAAGGGAAGGGAAAATGCATTTCTAATATCCTGACTATGCTGGGGAAAAGCCTGTTTCATTTCAGAGCTCTTGTAAGAAACAACGCAGCTAGATCTGCCTTGAGACTGCCAACAGTATTGAAGCATGTAGTTTTGATCGTGAGAGAGAAATGTACAGGCAACTTTTTATTTTGTCCTATGTATTTCCCGCATATGTACAGCTGCCTACTTTAAGGGTGATTGGATATGTAGCAGTTAGTTGTTAAGGCATGATGCATCCTGCCCTTTAGCAGAAAAAAACATTTTTACTGTCTTCACAATCTCCTGGCATCATGATACAAACTTCAAAATTTAGAAATTCAATAAATATTTTAAGTTAAATATTTTATGTATCTCTTCTTAATCTCTCTCTTTATAAGAATTTATAACTATTAAAATCCAGGCTCCACATTTTTGGTATGTGGTAGAAACAGAGAGCAGAGCAGAAAGAACTTACATGTCTCTTTACCTTTAAATTGCCAAGCAATATTATACAGCAACTGCCTGCTAAATTTGTGATTTCCCTGTTCTTCTGATCAGCATCCTCATTTATTTCAAGAACACAGTGTCTAGAGAATATTTTTTAATATTGCATGAACCCAGCAAATGATACGCCTGGTAGTGATTCAGAACGCCCTCTGTGTTGTAATTGTCATTCCCACCCCCAACATCCCACTGAAACAGCACCTCTGGACCTGTGCTGGTACCTCTGATGGCAAGCTAGAGCTGAAAGCACGTAGGCTTCTGACAAAAAGTGCAGAAGCACACAGAAGGGGCACACCAGGAATGCAAAAAGGAAAAAAAAAAAAAAAAAGCCCCTGAGGCTAAATATAAAGAGTAAATTGTTCTGAATTCCATCCAGCTGTGCTGCATGCTTCATTTCCTCTCATCTATTCCTACTCTAGCTGTCACAGGGTTGGATCACCAAAGCGCCACTTGCAATGGTCTTCATTGCTACCTTAGATGGCAAACTCAGCACAGGCACAGAGGAGGAAGATTCCCTATTTTCTACACAGTTGCTTCCCTAGCTGGCTGGACAACTGTTAGCAAAGCTATCAGCGGGAGGGATGCTATCCTGTTTCCAGTGTTAGACCTGTTCTTTGAGCAGGCAGAAAATTTCAGTCACTAGTGGTGTCAGTATCACATTAATGGAGAGGATGACACTCATTCACTTCCACTTTTATGAACTCACTGCATACCATAATGATTTCTTCCTCCCCAAGTCTTGCAGATTTCTCCTAATGTGATACATGGCTTCCCTTTGAACAGCCCACACTAATCCTTGGACTACACACTTCACAGTTTTCCATCTTCCACCCACAGCTCCATTGACTTCTCAACACAAAGAATCTGAATGGCAAGAAAATAGCAGAGCTCTGGAAACTGAAAGAAACATTTCAAAGCCAGACAAGAATTCTGGAAAAAAGAATCAAGTAGGTGAGGAGCTATAAAACCACAGAAGTAGGCCAGAGATTCATGGTTGTAGAAGATTTAAAAGCATTACATATAATGTCATATTCCTCACATGGCAAGTTGGAAAAGAAAGTACCCAGGGGGAAAATCTAGATTTTTTTATGTTATTTAGAAGAAAATATTTTATGAGGATTTCTAAAGGTTCCTGAAGTTCTCTCTCTGTGAGACTGGAACTGCTCAAGAATATGCTGAATGCCACAGGGGGCTTGCTCATTCCAGTCTCATGTTGCACCTAGAGTATACTTTTGACTTCACTTGCCAGAGCCCTCCTACACGGGTTTTCATTAAACAGGTTCATGAATGCCTGTCTGCTACAGACTCTTAGGGCTTGCAGTGAACAGTTTCACAAATGTTAGAAAATAGATGACTTATTGAAATGACAGATACAACAGATTCAAGATTGATGCTAATAAATGTACCAACCAAAATAGTGTT